ATAATCGTTCCAACTGGGCTTACGGGAAACAATGTCTGCCTTCCAGCACGGTCAGCACGCACGTCAGCAGTTCCCGCTGCAGGCCCGGCGCTTGTTCCGTAACTAAAGTCGGCTCTTGCAACCTGGAGAAAGAAGCGGGAACGCGATCAAAAACTGTATGCAGGTAATCCAACCCGAACTTGTGGATAACGAAGCTTTTGCGTCGAACGAGAGCTTGAGGGCTAGAGCGAGAAGGCATTTGGGTTGTGACGGAATCCGTGTCGGCTATTGCGGTATCTGAAGAGAAGGACAATATCACGAGCTGACGAGTGCGTCGCACCGAGGACAACGGGTTTTGTAAAGTTTTGGGGCGTCGGTCTGACACTGAGCAGCCGCGCTCCCGATACTAGTGGCAAAACCCAGGTGTGCATCTTGCTGTGTAGTTTGTCCATCTTGTCGCTTCATAAGGCGAGGGACGTCAGACTAAGGGAACAGATTCAAGCAATCGAGATTGGGACGGAAGGGCAAAGACGCCTCGAATTTTGCACGAGAGAAGCTCTGAAAGACTGCAGATAATCAGAGACACAACATGAAGAAAGATCAACAATTTCGCGGCAAAGGAAGGTTGTTTTTGAAAAAAAGCACGGCGGCCAGGGATGAAGCGTTGAGGGAAATGGAGCGTGCGGATCCGACGTCTTACTTTTTCGGCCAAGGGGAGGTAAAGGTTGGCGGCATACTCGCGGAAATCCTCATCTCGGCTTTGGACGTCGAACTGGTGCTTGCACATGATGAAAGTGAGCAGCCGAGCAGCCTTGCTCCTGCAGAAAGTGGGCGCGTTGCGTGAGGAAGGCGGCAAAAGAAGAAGAAAGGAGCAGCTTTTACCCCCCGGAAGCATCCCTTGATCCCCTGTGTCCGGTCAAAAGTATGGACTGGCAGTATCTTTAAAGAGGTGGCGGTCTTGCGGAACCTGCCCCTCACCCCCCATCGTCTCTGCATATGCCCATTCCGGGATTCGCCTCTACTTCTCCTTTCACCAGCCTCTTCACACGGGACTGAAATATTTCCATCTGTAATCCAGGACTTGAAGATACACCGGAGGCTTCTCAATAGCAGAAAAGTACTCTCAGTATCAGGCACTACGACGCCCAAGATTTTAGCAACTTGCAGAAGTCCCAGTGTTTAACTGGCTGCACCCTCACACTCACCAAAAACAAAAACATACGGATACGATCACCTTGAAATAGATCCGGTTGAAATGAGAACATTTTGAGTACTGAGGGCGCACCTAATCAACGGGTCCTCGGAGACCACCGCGCCAAGCACCTCCATCTGCAGCAGCGTTGCGATGTAGTTGCGCTCGTTCCCGGCGTGCCCCGGAAATTCGACGTACTTGTCATGGTCGCACACGATGCGGAGAAACGTCAGCCGCAGGTCAGCCACGGCGGGAGACAGGGGCCACGTGTCTTTCTTCATGTAACAAGCGATGAGCTCGTAGACCTACGGAGAAAAAGCAATCCCCGTGAGTCTGGCGAACCGGAGCCTGACACGTGTGTTCTGGGGCAGCGTCAACAGGGCCCCCGTGTCTTCTTCGAGTAAGAAGCGATCAGCGCATAGACCTGCAAGGGGATTTTGATTGCGCAACCCTGGGGTTGGGAGCCTGCCACGTCTTTTCGAGAGGCAAAAGCCCACAGCTCAGAGTTGAAGGCGGGGAGGGATATCGGCTCCTGTCCGTGCTCCCTCCAATGCAAAGCAAGAGAGCCCGAAAAGATTGCAAAGCAAGGAGGCGCAAAGATCGTCGTATAGACCATTTTCCTCTTGGCATGAAGCTCCTCAGAACCATCATGTGACTAATCGATAGCCCGAGATCATTCCTGCCCCCACAGACGACAGTTTCAGATTAGTGAAAATGAACCTCCACCAACAGCAAGCTTTCTGATTTGACTAGAAGCAAAACGTTCTTGAGCTCCGCACCAGTATCCACCCTAACACCGATACCCCCACCCGTCAAAGATTGCTGTTGACGGGGCTTACTTATCACTAAACTGATTCGAATCAGAGAAGATGCGCCAGCTCACCTGCAACGGATCGATCACCGACAGCAGATCGTGGCAGAAGTAGGCCAAGCACGTGTTGAGCCGCCGCGCCTGCGCTGGCCCGCTCCTGACTTTCTCCGCAACCTCTAGTAACAAACACTCGAACAGTGACCGGACGCAATTGAAGACGTCTGGGTTGAGCAGAACCGGCACGTGGCCGCTTGTCAGCCTCTCGTCTTCTACGATGGCGGGGGAGGGGGGCGTCGTGGGGGCCCTGTTGGCCTCGAGGGCGATGGATTTTGTAATGAGCTCTAGGAAAACCCAGGCCATGGACAGGACGTCCTCGTAGACAGGGCCCACCTTGTAGCCCTTGGCCTGGAAAAGAAGGGGGGTAAAGATCAAATTCCTACCCGTTAACGGACCATAAATCGTACGAACAGAGCAGTTGCTGGTTCAGCCGAAGTGAGAAATAGCGGAACTTATTAGTCGCTGACTAGAGCGGGTGTTTTGAATAAGGTTCTCCCCAGCTGGAGACTTGGAGGTCGATAATGATCTTTAATGAGTGGGGACATGATGGAAGCGAGTCAGTTTCCAAGGAGCCGAGCACTTAGGAAGGGCGGAGCACTGGACTACACACTGCCGCTTCTTGGAATCTACGACCAGGGCAGGGAGACAGAAGCAACGTTGGGCGTCCGTGCTATTATAGATTCTTATCCATCTCCCGTACTCCTCCAGACGTCGGGTTCCGAGCTTCAAAATCCCCTCTACTCAGAACACCCCGAGGTGCTAGCTTCGTCATCCACAGAAGGAAAAAGAGCAGCGAACTGAGAGCCGGCGAGTTAGACATTTGCTACCTTGCTCCGAGCCAAGCTCCGCCAGACACTGCAAAGACCCGGGTAGACCGGGTGACGGTCGCCCCTCCAGTCATCGAACGCGTAGTCTATGAAGTGGACCAGGATGCGGTTGCGCTCCGAGCCGTCTAGGGACTCCTGCTGGATCCTGGATGATGGAAGACAAGACCAAAATCAGCAGGTACAGATAGAGAACTACGCAGAAGCAAAGCGGAGGCAAGCCCTGCAATTTGACGGGCGAAAGCTCCTCAAGACCGGTAACGAGGGGCTTGGAGATTCTGTGGGTTTCGATCGCAAGCTGCTTACAAGTAGGCCATTGGAACAAATCGCCGACCGCATTGGATAAGGAGTGATGCAACGACCTCCGTAACCTCAAGACCCGCACTACGCCTCTGTAGTGTCTCAGAAGTAGTCTTGATGCTCTATAAGCAAGGCTTTTGACGCGATGCCCGACTCAAAAGCATGCACAGGAAACGGAACCGGTCTCGATGCTCTTTAAGCAAGGCGTTTGAAGCAATGCAAGACTCACGAAGCATGCACAGAAACCGGAATCAGTCTCGATGCTTCTTAAGCAAGGCGTTTGAAGCGACGCCCGACTCAAAAGCATGCACAGGAAACGGAACCAGTCTTGATGCTCCTTAAGCAAGGCCTTTGAGCGATGCCCGACTCGCGAAAATGCACAGGAACCCGAAGGAAGTGAAACGTATGTCAATCTGCACTGACCGTGTCAGGATGTTGACGAGTGCGCGGAACGACGCCACTTGCAGCGTCTCGCCGCCGTCGCCCACCAGCCGGAGCAGCATGGTCAGCGTCGGGTGCAGGTACTGCTGCAGCGTTACGAAGTCCATGGACCGCAGGTGGTTGATGCTCTGCGCGCACAGAGTGTAGATAGGTAAAGACGAGAGAACGCGTCGATCACAAGTGGAAGAAAATGGCTATTGTTAGAATCTCTGCGAGAACGGACCTTTGGATTAGACAAGTATTTATGCAGCGTTACGAAGTCCATGGACCGCAGGTGGTTGATGGTCTGCGTGCACAGGACATTAAGGAGGTAGGGTTGAGGAAAGCGAAAGAAGCCTCAACAAGAGATAGAAGAACAATTGCTGTTTTCCACTTTGCAGAAAGCAACAGTTGTAGGCCTTTCAAAAATCAGGTTTCAGAAATTAGGGCTTGGGCAAGCTGGAAGATAGTTCATCTGTGGTTCCCTTCTGACGGACAATTAGTTTAACATGCTGCGTCGTCGCATCTAACAGCAAAAGAGCCATGCACTTTCCCCCGGAGCATGAACTTAGCCTTTATTGGGAATGTCTAGAAGTGGCCTGCCCCATGTACCCTTTACCGGAGACATGGTTACCATCATGAAGCATTCCTCTCGGACTGAATCGAACCTTTTTAAGAACGCTTACCGTCAGCAGGGCGGAACTCGGTGGGCCCCCGGCGCTCAGCATGTGCCTGTCGTAAGCCACGTGGAAGGCCTGGAGCCGTTCGTTGGTGGGGTGGATCGTGGAGCAGAGCCGCAGGCGCAATCGGAAGATAGGGCGGCCATCGTCTAGGTATTCCATGTCGCCCTTGACGTAGTCCTGGGCGCGGAAAAGAGAGCATAAGGCGCTAGTGTAACCGGACTAATTGGTCAACGGGGTACGTACGTGATATGAGTATTGGCGATAGGCCTAGTCAGGGCACCCAACCGAGCACGCCGTTGGAAAGGTTGGTGGGAGCTTCAGCGATAGTTGATTGCCAAGCGGTCGGTTATAAGCTGCACTTCACGCCAGTAAATCAGGTTCGTGATGGAACGAGGATCATCATTCGCTTAGAAAGCCACAAAGCAATGACTCTGACAGGATGATTAGCAACTCCCGAAACAAAGCGAATATGACGCAGGGTATCCGTCCGTTCATTGGCCCGGACACAAAGTCTGATGCGGATGATCCATCAACAAAGAAACAACCGTTTTTTATACTCAAGGGATACGGGCGGCGGAATTAAGGCTTACGTTGAGGTACATCGGTAAGAGCTCCTTGACGACAGGCAGGCTGCCGTCGGACCTCAGGACTTGCGTGCTCATGGACAGAGGAAGGACGCTGTAGCCCACTACCGTCTGCAGGAGAAGGGGGAAAAAGAGCATTCACTGCTTCTTATTCCGCAGTTTAAATGGCTCCAAGAGTCATGCGATTGACAGTAGCTACTGCTCGTAAAGTTTTTTGTGGTATTGAACTTGTCATTGGCAGTTTGCTATCTGCCTGAAATCAAAGGACTCCGGAAAAAAAAAGCACCGCCCATCTGTGTCCAACGGGCGATGACCCCAGTGAAAACATCCGTCCAATCCTACAAGCAATCACAAAACTACGTGGCTGAGCGACTTGCTTTCCTTCTTAGATCATGGCTATGAATCAGAATCGACATCGTTCACATTTTTCTGAATACATCAAAGTCTTGTACCAGCTCTCCGGTCCATGGCTTCAACGCTACGGCTTTCCGGAAAGAAGTATATGTATAAGACCTCACCATTCCGTTCTCGGGCTTCCCCTTCTGACGCAGGGCTGGCTGCAAGAAGGTGAAGACGAGGTGGTGCTGCGGCTGGAAGACGGTGGGGAGCCGCAGCTTGATTTCGTCGTGGAAGAGGGGCGTCTTGGTGTTCGCGGCGACCTGGGTCGTAGCCGCTCGGAGCATCGGACCGCCGAAGTCTTTCGGAAAGATGACCTGCGTCCAAAGAAAAGATGTCACTTTTAAAACATTCCTCATCGTCTGTTGTCCAAACGGCTCGGTTATCACGGCCACTAGTTCTTTCCGGACGGGGTGTAAGAGGAGTAAACAATGCGTGATTGAAGGGGCACATCTGTACCCGGCAGGGCAGACATCGCAAGCAAGGTCCCGATCAATCGTTTGGCAACCATGCGTTCAAAAGCCTGAAGGCGAAGCAAAAGAGCAAACACGACAAGAATTGACCCGCAAAGAGCATCCATGCAACCTTCCTCACCTGCATTCCCGGATTGTCCGGATGGCTGTCATCATCCCTCAGCTCCACCCTCACGAGGAGGTTCCGCTTCCTCGACATTTGCAACGAGAGCGGGTACACGTACAGCAGATGGATCAGCTCCGTATACGGCGCGCTTCGATCCAGCGACCGAAAGTCCAAAGCGCGCACGAGTCCCCCCCCCGACCGCACCCCCCGGTTTAGAAACGTGTCGGCCACCCTGCCGCTGATGGTCGCCCGCTCAGTCTGCGCGACCACGGTCCAATCGTCCGTACCGGGGGTGCTCGGAGCCCCCCCGGTCGAGTCCGCATCGGCGTCCGGATACCGTCCGGAATCCGCCCGGCCGTGGCTCGAAGCCGGAGTGTGCTGCGGACTAGCCCCGTTCGAGCTGCGGGGAACGTCTTCGCTCCCTCCGCTCTGCCGGCTCTGCCGGCGCAGCAGTGGAGTGGTCCGTCCGCTTTCCGGACCGTCCAGAACCGTCCGCACACTGCCCGCGCTGTCCCGCCGTTTCCGGTCCCCGGCCGCGACTCCCCACACCGCTTCCGTGCTAACGTGCTTCGCAACCCCGTTTTCCGCCGGCTTGTCCAATGACGCGAACATTGACGGCCCGTGAACCCGGTGTCTGTGTGGTGCGCCCAGCAAGTTTTGGGGGGTCGCACTTCCGGACATTAGTAGGGGAGTCGCGACCCTCGCCGCACTTGACTCGGACCCCGAGAGCCTCTGAATCAAGAGCCTCATGCTTGCACGGACGGCCTTCTGCGCCTTCTTTTGGTCCTGAAGTAACACGAATAACGAGCCATTATCGACCCAACTGATGCTGCGGTTAGCGTCAAAGCTTGCAGCCGTGACGTCAGCAAGCACGGAGTAAATACGACCTCCGCAGCTTTTCAAAAGAAGGTCAAACTCGGTACATGAGCGGGCCGGATTTTGTGATCTACCAGGGAGAGGGATGCAGAACTACTACTCCGGGTACAGCTGGAAGCAGAGCACTGACCTGAAGGCTGTCCTCTGTGTACGGTGCCTTGACCCTATGGAACATCGGCACATCCACTTGCACCGCTTGCCACGTGTCCCCTTCGTCAGCCGCGCTTCTCCGTTTGGTCGGAGTGCCGGAGAAGCTCAGCCCTGAAGCGGTCAGATCGATGGAAGCTTTGGGCGTCCCGTAAGCGCTGTTCCCGTTGCTTCCATAACCAGTGAACCCGTTCAACGGGGTTCGGGGCGTGCTGACCCCGCTCATTGGGTTGGGGGCCTGGCTGGTGTCCAGTCCAAATCCCCCCAAACCGTTGGTGACCGTTTTGTCGAAAATGGGGATGAACGTCCAGGCGAGGGGCTCCTTGAATGGGACCGATGCGGCCCAGCCTGCCACGCGGTTTGCATCTCTTTCCGAGAGAGACGTCTGACACCATCGAGGATATTGAGTCAGTAAGGTCCCAGGAAGACTCTGTGGTACGCTGGGCAGAAGATCGATACTTGGATGGCCTCTCACTTGGTTCATGTATCCACTTTGACCTACAGCTTTTTGACACCTACGAAGCAGGGCGTCTGAAGTGTTGTCTATCCGAGAGGAAAGAGATCTGACAGGTTTGCAGCGAGGGGCACCAGCAGAGGCATCTACGATGATACCGTTTGTAGGGGTACTAGTTGTGGCTCACCGCGTCCTTCTTTGCATACACAGATGCTTTGACCCCATCCTCCTCAGTCGCCGTCCGCTCGAGTTGGATTAGCAGGCACACGGCCGCCAGTGGCTTGTCGAGTGTGAAGAAGACGCGGCGTTGCTGGTCAATGGGGCGCTGGAGGCACAGATACGAGTTGCTTTGATAAGAGTAGAGGAATCACAATTTTGAGTTGGGACCCTGCATCAGTCGTCTGATCCAACTGAAAGCTTGTGTAACAAAAGCCCCCTTCTGACGCCTCCTGGCTTGCTAGATACAAGCTGGAGTTAATTTGTGCACCTCAGCAGTTTACAGGCGGAGAGTCCGACGGACTTAAGGAAAAGCTTACCTTCGGCCAGGTATCTGGAGCAATAGAAAAGTGGAAGTCTTCCGATATTTTCTCACGCCTGTCCTTATGGTAAAGGCTGATTGTCCCGCTGATCGGTTCTGCAGGGAACGAAAGCACAGAGTTTGACAAGGCCAGGCATGCAAGTATCTGTACCATGCAAGCAACGGCCGATCAATTCATGTATGAATCAGTGTTCAGGACAGAAACCCAACTTGTGAGCCACTGGATCATGATAGGTTTGATCTGATCTTACCTACAAGTCCCACTTGCATCGTCAGACTGACGACTTCGACAGAGAAGGAGAAAAGCCTGGAGAGTACAGGGACAGAGACAAAGTGAGTGTTGATAATGATTGCTGTAGAAACAACCAAAAAAAGCTGAACTAGCAAAAACATGTATTGGTATGCTAAAATCCTGGAAGGTGTTCCAACAGGTCCCTGGTTTCACTTGACCTCACCACTGGACAGGTCAGATACTCAAAAGTAATCATAGGTGGGGTAATATGAGTGAAGTCCTTACCCTGTTGGTGTAACATACAGAGAGGACCTCGCACGAAGTCCAGGAATCGACGCCCTCTCCTCTTCCCAGTTGAAGGCAGGGGCAAAGGAGTGGAACAGAGGTCCCTCCAGTTGCTGAAAGAAGTAAAGTGTCATTTTGAACATTCGAAACGAAAACATCTCATGTGAGCCACCCTACAGGACCTCAGCCTTATATGCACCAACTGCACAGGAGTCGGCAGTGAACGTTTTCCAACTTTTAAAACATCAGTGTAGTTCAAGCCCCATGATGGATGGGACGGCCTCACCATTTGAGCGACTGCCGCTTCAAGCTTGTCAGCACCCGACTCCTGGCGTCCATCAAATGACGCCTCTTCCGATCCTGCAAGCAGTGCGTGGAAAGAAACATTCTTTCAGTGACGTTAATCAGCTCCTATGGTAATACCCTTCTTTTCGACACCTTGGAGAACTCTTCCGTTGATCGTTGACAGGGTGCTTCTAAATGTCCAGAGCGATTAGCCAAACCGCTCACCTTCTCTTTTAACCTGTGCTGGGTCCTCAAAGTGCTGGGGATGAAATGGTGGTGGTACGATGCCGCTGTAGTGTCCATACTTGCCGTCAATGCACACCCACCCCCCGCTGTATGATGCAATCATCTCTTTGAGAGATGGCATAAGGTCCTCCCTATCTTGGAGCTGCATGACCAGGAGGATTAATCAGCGCACTCCCAGCAGCTAACTCCTCTCCAAGCAAGTCATTGGGTCGTCGTAGGAGTTGAAAGAAGCTGGCAGCTTTGGAGGAATGCAAGTTTGGGCATGCCAGTATTGGAAAACAATGAAAAGTTGTCTCTAGAGACAGTACACATACAGTCTTGGTAGGGTACATGGACATAGTTTGATGGTTGGAAAGTTCGTAGAGCACTTGGATTGTGACATGAAGAATGTACCGGGCAGTATATGTGACTGTTAGCTCTAAGTGACAGGTTTTAGACAGGGGAATGCAATCTGTTCCGTTGCTCCGCAGGGTAAAATCTGTTTCCCAGCTTTTACCTTGGATTGGGGCAGCTCCTCAAGCTCCTCCACAAGGTCGCCATGTGGCAGCTCCTGGTCACTCGATCCAATCGCCATCTGAGCTGTGCTCAAAGCGCGCCCCACGCAGCAAAGGCCCTAGAGCTGTTTCGACAGGAAATAGCTGGTTTGTCAGCTCTTTTCACTAGGCATGGGTGCAATGCACCGGCTTCTCTGCAAGGCACTGAGTCTCTGAACGTCCGCTGATGAAAGCAAGACCAGTCTTAGGACCTGCAGCTATGTTTTTGTCTGCGTACCTCAGATTGTCACCACCGAAGTGGCATCAATACAAAATAGTGTGCAACCGATCAGCTTCTCAAGTATTCAGAAGCGAGCAATCATCTTTTTCAGAAGGCTACAGCAATGCGATGTAGACACTTAAGTGACTCATTGGCCCTGGGCCTGCTATCGGTGCACTGCAACCGGTCTCATTGCGCTAGTGGCTAAGTGGTGCTAGAACTCTTAAAGTACAACTTGATTGTACGCGATCTTCTCGATGCGCACTCCAACTTCGATTGCAGAAACCAAGGACGACCTGTTCCCTTGAAAGGCGTGAGAACCTAGACTTCTGGTAGCTCAAAATGATGGTGTGCAACTTCTGTAGCCTAAATATGGCTGCCAGATCTCGTAGAACATGTCACAATGTGCAGCTCGCCGTCGGAGCAGCAAGACAATCTTGCAAGCTCGGATTGAAAAGTCAGCAGCACGGTGATCCTAGCTCAGCTGACGGTTGCTCCGATCAGCAACATTGCTGATCTGCAGGGCGGCTGATCCAAGCGCCATTTTTAAGCTCCCTCCATATTGCATTTGAACAAATTGTGCAGAGGCAAAAGAAGTTGCCTGTCGAGCTGGCAATAGTTAGTTGATCAACAGCAGACGATATCAGCAAACACTAACCGTCGATGTCTCCATCAAGGTCTTTTTGACGGCCTCAGGTTTCTCGAGCTCCTCCAGAGTCCAATCACCTGCGCAAAAGGGCGTGTCAAATGACAGCCAATCTCGAAGGGAAGAAGGCCTGAGTTCACGGGTTCGCGGAAAATCTGGACGTACTAGATGACGTCACTGGTTGATAACCCGTGCCAAAAAGAGGGTAGGCAATTATTTATTCTCGGCCTAGTTGCCTGTGGGATCCCCTACTACTAGGTGTGCGCTTCCAGTCTACCGGTACTCGCGTACATACCCACCGTACTAATACCCACGATAGGTACCTATAAACCTTTGAAGTCAGCTAGCCTCTAGTACTGCCCTCTAGGCTTTCGTGTGCCTGAAGGTAGGTACCGAACTGTCTCAGGTACCGTACCGGTACAAGGTTGAAGGTGGGTACCCACCAGGTAGGTAGATATAAGTACTAAGTAGGTACTAGGTTGGTAGGTAGGTATACCGTCGTTGGTACCGGGACACCGTGGTGAACATGCAGAGCGCCGCGAAACTTAGTAGGTACCGGTAGGAACAGGTAGGTACCCGTTAGCGACCGGTACTGCCATGTGATCTAGCGGGCCGATTGTAGGTACGTGCCTGCAGACACCTCGGTTGGGCACCCTGGGTATCACCAGTTGGGCTACCGTATTGAGCTGGTCAACCATCGGTACCGGGGACCGGGGGCGCCGAAGTACGGTACCAGCGATGCCAGTCTTCGCGTGATGCACAGCCCCGAATTTGCAGGCACAAGTTCACGTGGCACACGAGACGCCAATCAAATCTTTGGACAAGATAAGGGAGAGCTGCAGGGCCACTGAATTTCAAGAAAGCCTCCAGGTCAGCATTCCGAACCACGAATGGTAGCTTCTAACTCGAGTGGGTTCACATCAGAACTGACGCCGTCAGTAACCCAGATTCTAGGTGCATAACCCGTTTTCCTCCTCGGTGAAACGTGTGCGTGATTCGCCACAATTTTAGCTTGCATGCTGTGACCAACAAAGTGCATGATGCATTTAACACTGCTGCGGAAGATTTACCCGGTAGAGTCTACCAAAACGAAACCCCATTGATGACCCAGCGGTACAGTCAGACAGTTCCGAAACCCGCCAGGTTTACCTCCCCTGCGCCTGAGAAGTTCGAAGGTTCAGTCACCGTTCAGTGCCTTGGATTCGGAAGGTCTTGGGTCAGCATTGCTTCCTGCAACTTCGAGCATTTGCAGAGCAATTCTAATCACTGAAATTTTCAATTCCTCTGTTGTACCAAGCGGTCCTCTCTCTGCAGCTTTTAGAATTTTCACAGAGGAAATCATGGCTTCCGTTGCGTGCACCAGCGCGGTCTCGACGTCTTTTGCCAGCTTGTCCGCCACTAAGATTAGCCGGACCGAGTTCGCTGGGGCCTCTCTCCCCTCCCTGCACAGAGGAGCTGCTCGCGTCTCGTGCAACTTCAAGAAGACCGTGACAAAGACGCCCTACGGTGAGGAGCTTGTTTGTGGCATTCGACAAGAGCTCCTTGAAAGAATTACAGTTGCAGCTTCGCGAGTCAGATTGTTGAATGTTTGGCTGGCAATTTAACTGTCGAAAGTGCGCCTTCCAAGTTGTCTTGTGAATATTGATGTCCTCTCTTTGAAATGGTTTGGCTGAGACAGACGTAAAAGAACTGGAGGAGTGCTGATTGTCTTTGCAAGTTGTAATTGCCAAGATGCATCTAGTTGAGATCTAGTAGGAGCTTACTCACTAGACCCTGAAAAACAATAGAGTTCTATCTGCTTACCTACTTGACACCGCTCTCGACAAAGCTCCAGTTGACACTGTCGCCCTTTCGGGTCAAGAGAAACAATGCAATTTCATAGTCTGCCGCTGACAATTCTTATGATGCATTTTCATATCTTGCCCCTGACAATGCACTTTGCTGCTGCGCTCCAGGACCCTCTGGCAACACAAAGTTCAAGGATGGAAAGGATGCGGGAGGCAGCCCGGCTAAGGTGCGTGGGGCCAGTCTTGGTGTTTGTTGCTAGCTAGACATTATGCTCTGTTGCTAATCAATAATCTGCTTCATGTGGGGAACACTTAACAATAATCTGCTTCATTTGGAGAACGTATCTGGTTTTCTCTGTTACAGGTCTTGTGGTCCTGACTGGTTCCCCCCTTTTTTGTCACCTCGCTTGACTCTCTGTCTGGTGAATCCTGCAGGGCAAGGGTGTTTACCAGTATGCCAAGAAGTATGGCGCAAATGTTGATGGATACAGGTGAGGGCGTAGGCAGTGCACTGATTGCTCTGGTATAGTTGATCGTGCTTTCAGGAGAGAATATTATTATGGTTCGTGCTAAGAAGTCGAGCAAAGACCTTGGAAAGGCCTGTCTCAACCCGCACTTCCTGGGGGTGATAAATTAACCTCAGCATGTAAAGCGAAGCAGTATTTCAATTTGAGTATCTATGACTTGCGATCGTTGAACCCTTATAGCATTGGTTTCGGCTGTCCGCTCTCAGCAGTGTCCTTATCAATTTGGCGCAACGTCTGGTGTATCACATCGTTGTGGCTTCATCCAGACTGTTAAAGAACACGGGCAGATAAAGGGTTTGGCACCGTTATAAGGGTTTGGGGGCAGTCGGCTCCTTCTGAAGGATTCTCAAGGCAGATGAAAGGTCTGGGGCAGGCGGCACTTTCTCGAGGTTTCACGGATTATATTTTCAGCCTATTTTTTCTTGAATATATGCAGTTCGCTGAAGACAGTATATATGCCTGTACATAACGGATTTGTTTCTTGCGCAGCCCTATCTACACCCCGGAGGCCTGGTCCACCAGCGGAGACACTTACTCACCAGGTCAGTCCCTGTGTTCTTGCTATGCAGAATGACTGCTAAATTTAGCTGCCTCAGATTGGAAGTCGTCCACCAGCCCAGTGCAATGACTATCCTGCTGTTCTTTTCCAGTGTGTGTGTTTTTGTTTTCTTCCTTTTGACTTTTGAAAGTAGAAGGGATGTGCAGGTCAGTGGGTTTGGCTGTATCTTTGATCGTTGTTCAAACTAACAGCTGATCAGAGGGTTAGTCTGTGAGTGAAAGTGTTTTGTGTTTGGCCGCCAACAGGGGTTGACCTTGGCCTTGGATCCTAATGGCACCATTTTTTGCCCCTTGTCAAACGTGATCGCTGTGGTAGAATCTGGAAAACTGTATTGCCTGACGGTCTTTGGCAGGGGCAACACCAGGCTGGTCTGTTTTAGGGTTCCGATTGGGGGTTGAGTACCTGCCTTGAAGTGTTCGGTGTTGTTGGATCTGCATACATTCTGTGGGCATTTTCCTCAATTGCAGCTTGTTCTTTTGTGTGCAGGCGCTGGTGCTCTTGCCCTGTGGGCTCTGCTTTTCGCCGGGCTTCTAGCAGGAAGCGCCGCTCTTATCATCGGCACTAGCGCGTTGTAAGTTGGGGTTTGTGGGGAAAGGGGTTCTTTCGGACCGTTCCAAGTTGGCAAGTAAGCTGACTGAATGGTCTGATTAGATGTAATTTGTAACCATGTACAAAGTGTTGGGGGAAGAGTTGTCAGGCGTGAGTTTGTGTACGAACAGCTCCGGTTCACATTGACCCTCGTCTAGTTCCTACCTGGCTCCACCTGAAGCACAGCGAGCGTCACTCAAACCGTCCATGAAACGTTGTTTGAGGTTCAGCAGATTTCCGGGGGTTCGTTGGGAATGATCAAATAAGCTGATACGTGTTCCAATGTCCATCCTCTGATCTCTGGTCGTAAACTTGGCTTTCGCGCCAGTTTTGCCAAATCAAGTTCAACGCAGAAATCATTTACTTGGACTCACTCATAAATGACATACTTGCACAAAGTGTGGAAGCGGGTCGAGCAAGATGAAAGGTACTGCCACATGCTTCCAAAGTGAGTGCATGCAGAATGTGAATGTCATGGGTTTGCGCGTGTCAGATATGCCATTCCCTGTACTATGTCTGCGTTATACTACATCTTGTCGCTGAATTTAATCTCACTTCTTTTCATTGCTTGATTATTAGTTAACAGGATTGTTATTTAACTGTATGCATGGTACATATTGCGTTTCATACTTACCTGCGGGGTGGAAGAACCGTCACAAATCTTGAGTTCAAGGTATAGTACCTATGGGATCCTATGCAATTGACAACTGATCAAAATGGTTGCTTCTTGAGTAAAAACTTCGATCAGAATGGAGTCTTCTGAAGCGTAGAAGGTCTTATAACCGCGCTCCGGACTCAGTCATGCCGGAAGTTATCGAAATTGGCCACTGGCATTACTAACTGCTGCATGTGCAATGATCCATATTAAAAGTGAGTCAGCTGCACAAAGCATGGTGCTCGAGCCCGGCCCTTGTGCACCAATTGTTCAAAGCACGACTGGCCCATATTATTATAAAAAGACATCAATGCTTTCTTCGAACAGATATGGCATGGCTGGGGACATGCACCGCGCTGACATGTCATCTGATGGCATTGACAAATCAGCGATTGAAAATTGCCTAGTGAAAGCTGTTTGCGCGCATGAGTCACCAACTTGAAGCGGCATCAGGCCTGGGCACTACCCAAAATATATGTTTTTTAGAAATCCGTCAAGACTCCGCCTAAAGTTGCCCGGGAAATGTTACAGAGAACCTATTACACGGCTGCCATTGCTATCGGGCAATCACTCTAGCAAGTTCGGCAGCCAAATCGTTTGCTGCTTGCGTCACAGAGCTGCTGGTCGACCTTCGGAGTCTGGCTATCAGAGTTTCAAGTTGCTCTACGTTACTCATGTTGAAACTAGATGGTCCCGCCGTCGATCGCTGCTGCTTGCATGCCTCCCGAAGGGCACTCAACAGCCGGTGTTGAATCCTAGAGAGGAGGAAACAAGGTACATCAGTGAATTGCGTTCTCAGTGACCCGCAATTGTCGCTAGGTCACTCATGGCCTGCCACAAACTTCTGGCCGACAATAAGATCCAAAAAGCGCGCGACTATGGCCAGACGAAGGAAGGAAAGAGTACAGCAATGCAAGCTGTGCTCACCAGTCAACGTTGGACAGATGTTTGAAAGTTGGAGTTCCTTTGCAAGATTTCCATTAGAAAGCTAGAATTTGGAGTGTTCTATTCCGCCACCGACTTTGAGCAACCTGGAGCCCCGCGCCATGAATTTTCCGAACGGGCCGTTCCAACCAACATCAGATAAGCTCGCAGGTCAATCCGAAAGGGAACCTCGTCCGACCGAGCTCGAGCAACAAATCCCAAGCACACACCGGCAAAGAAGCAAGCTCGGCGGAAAGCCTCACTTGGCGAGCAGGGCCTTGCTCTGGCACTTGTTGGCCGTCTCCAACACCTGCAAAACCTGCGGCACGTTCTGCAACAGGGCCCCCCCGATGGACCGCGGCGCTGCGACTGATAAGAGCGCGACGCAGTGCGAGGCGGCGTCCGCAACAGAGTCCTCGTGACTGCCCACCAGCGCGAGGAAGACGTCCGAGGACAGGGCCAGCTCAGCGATGTCCTGCGAGCGGGTTCGGTGGGGGTTTCCAGCTCTAGGGTCGTGAAGTTCCAGAATTTATGGGTTTTAAGATGGCTGCCCACCAGAGCAAGGAAGACGTCCGTGGACAGAACCAGTTCAACGATGTTCGATAGAGGCGTTGGAAAAGCACCCTCTGGAGATTTTCGACATCTGAAGCGCCAGAATGCAATTGAGGCTAGATTGGCTATCAAGCGCTTCCGTAGTGGGTGGGTGCATGGTTCCGCAAGAACTGGTCGAGAAGAGAAATTGCTTTAGGAGCAATGTCGACTCGGGGCACGTGCCTGTATCCCCGCGCCACCTCCGCGGCCCTGCGCAGCCGCGTGCCTCTCCAAAAACCCGCGGCAGATCGCGACTACCGGCTCCACGAAATCATCCTTCCCCTGGCCGGCCACGTCCTGCAGCAACAGCCCCAACCGGGCACAAACCCGCGCCTCGGAAAGCGCCCGGGTTGGCACCTCCGGGGCGGAAATGGCCGCCAGGCACAGCTTGAGCGCGAAACTATTAATCGTCTCCGGGTCGCCCGCGAGGAAATCGAACAAGCGCGGGAGGAGCTTCAGCTGGAGGAGGTCCGGGATCCGGACACACTGCCGGTCCAGGAGCAGCGCCAGCAGCTTCTGGGCGTAGGTGGGAATGGGCTCCTCGTCCTGGAGGAGCGACGGGTAGAGCGGGAGGAAGTGCTGGAAGACGAGCGCGTCGATCTGGGAGCGGTCGACCGGGGCGCCGGCCGGGGGGGTCGGGGAGCCCGGGGTTTGGGGGGGGGAGCGGTGGAGTCGAGCAGGAGGAGGAGCGTGTCGCAGAAGACTTTGAGGCACATGAAGCGGCGGTCGCCGTCCTTGCTCGCGCGGTACAGGTCCGCCAGCACGGGAAGGACCTGGAGGGGGGGTAGAAACACGAGTGTTTTGAGAGGGGTGAAAAGAAACACGGGTCTTTTAAGAGGGGGGACAGGAAACACGGGTGCTTTGAGACGGGGAAAGGGAAATACGGGTGTTCTGAGAGGGAGAGAAAGAGGAATCGCTTTGAGGAACATAAAGCGGCGGTCGCCGTCTTTGCTTGCGCGGTACAGCTCGCCAGGACGGAGAGGACCAGAAGAGGGGGGGCTTAAGATCGTCGTTCTGAAGACCAACAAAGAGGCCCCACCTGTTGCACGGTCGCCTCTTTATGGCCCAGCACCGTGGGCGTCTGCCCCTGCGACAGGGCCTCCAGAATCTGAAGCACCACCGACTGGAACTCGGCAACTAGAGCGAGGGGGCTCGCGGGGCCAGGCGCAGGGGCGTCTTTTGGCGCACGGGGGCTGTTGCTCGGGGACGCATCAAGGGCGACCAGTGCGTCCTGGGAGCGGGCTAGGCAGACGCCCAAAAGGGAGAGCAGGCGGCCGTCGGCGAAGCGGCTGCGAGTGAGCTGCGGGGAGAGAAGCGGGATGTCAGAATGATGGTCAATAGGTCGGTTATGGTTTGGCTGGTGCTCATGCGATCTTAGGCCGCTCTCGGCTCATGCTTGATGTCGAGGGCACTTCAAGAACTGCTTGCTCACCCAATCCATTCCTGTTGGTAATCGATTTCAGCGGAGGTGGTATGTTCGGTTTCAATAAGAAGAGCAGGGCCTGCCTGAGGGGAACAACGACACCCGCTCGCTGGAAAGAAAACGGACAAGACCACCATGGAATCAAGGCCGCACTTGATACTTGACCAGTTTTATCAGAACGACGACACCCGCTGCGATTAGAACGAAGGATACCACCAAGAGCATTCCACCTGTAGATTTGCAAGCGGAGCGCCCGTTTCGGAACCGACAAAAACCTTGTCGCCTGACGGAAACCAGAGGCCGTACCTGACACGTACTTCGTGAAAGAAACCAGAGGCCGTACCTGACAGGTGACCAAGTGTAGCAGCACGGCGGCCTGCCGAGCGGTCCCCGAGATCCCGAAGGCGGCATCCGCGGACTGGCGGCCAGAACGGAAAAGGAACAAGACCACTGCGGATTGAAGAAAAACCAGAGCCCGTACCTGGCACGTGACGAGGTGCAGTAGCACAGCGGCCTGGCCGAGCGGTCCCCGAGACCCGGAGGGCGGCGTCCGCGGGCTGGCGGAGGGCGTGGCGCGACCTTGCTTGGTCGCCAGTTTGGAGAGCTCCGCCCGGGCTTGGTCCAAAATGGGGAGCGCCATCGCGGCGACCAGCGACAGAAACGCCTCCAGGCAGCGCTGCACGTACTCGTCGCGGTCGCGGGCCAGGCGCTCCAGGACGGACGTCTGTGGAGAGAAAGAGAAGCTTCCGCAGGTTTGAGAAAGGAGGGTTGCGAGTCTTTGAAGACGGCGTTTGTAACTCCCGGAAGATGGAAAAGGGGGCGGAGACTCAAAGTTTTGGGAGGCGGGGGTTTGGTGCTCATTGACGTCACGGGCCAGGCGCTCCAGGACGGACGTCTGCGCGAGGCCGATGGAAGTTTGGGAACTTTGAGGATGCAGGAACCTTCTTCTAACATTGAAGGCAAGGTGGTAAACCTCGTAGACGAGGAGAGTTGTAGGTCGAGAGAATGGACGTTAAGAATTCCCAGAGGAACGATACTCATTATTTGTTACACAAATGTTGCCTTTGCAATCGCGAACCTCTCCTCCAGATCCTCCAGGCTTCGTCAGCTCTAAAAAATCTTTAGACAGATGACGGTAAGGATCTAGAGGCTTGGACTAACGAACCCATTACAATTCAAGTACTCCTCTTTGTGAGGACCCTGCCTTGAATACGCAGTGCACGAAAAACCACGCCAAGTCGACACCCCTAAAACCAAGTTGACAGAGTAACAAAGAGCACGCAGAAGGAAGCGCCACAAGCGTTGATCTAGATACCAGATGATAAAGTTTCAAAACCATAGCAGTCACCACTCTCGAGTTGCAGAGGGCTTCCAGCCAACCACAACTCAGGACTTGCTTAACAGAGCGCAAAGATGCTCGTACAGTTGGAAGATGCGTCACTTGGGACGATGCACAATAACCGACTTCGGGTAGAGCTTTGCAACTTGCTTGACACTCCCCACTATCGCGTTGCAGAGCGCTACCAACCACCTCGTGGTCGCCGCACAAACGCTGAGCCGCTCGCAACCTTTGAAGGAAGCGACAATGAGCATATCGCCCAGCAATCGGAAATGGAGACCAGCATTGAAAGGAAAAGGGCCTTCAAGACCTGCTCATACTCACCACTTTCGCATTGCAGAGCGCGACCAGCCACCTCGTGCTCGCTTGACACAGCGCCCAGCCGGCGACGAGCGCCTTCGCCCTCAGCACCTCCGACGCGTGCTCCAGTAACCCAACTAGAGTGGGAACAAGCCCCCGCTCCTCCGCCATGAGCTGCGTCTGCAGGCGCGTGGCGCCTATTCTCACCCCCGCCTGGAGGCCCATGTTGAGCAGGTTGAGGTACGTCTGCTGCGTCTTGGAGCTGCCCTCCGCGAGCCCGCGAACCAAAGCTCGCACGCCTAGTTTCTCGAGGGCGGCCGGGAGGACCGGCGGGTGGAAGCGCGCGAGGCGCACGAGGCACGAGCCGGCGGTGGCGCGCAGGTGCTCCAGCTTCGAGTTCTGCACGGAGAAGTTCGATCTCTGCATCTTTGAAATATCAGTGTGGTGTCCTCAAGAAAAGAACCTCGCACAATATGAAAGTAAGTGCAGTGTCCTTCGACGGTGAGACCTCGTTTGCATCGGTAGGGTCCTTTCGTGGTGCTCGTGCGCGGAAGATGGCTGATATGCGTCACTTATTACAACACTCTCGGGAGGGTTAAACGGCTGGTTTGCACCATTACAGGGTTAGATGGGGGGTACTACTGAAACACCTTTAGTTTCAGCAGGGGAATGTGCGTCTACTTATACACTTGCAAACCCCACCTGGAAGATGAAGACAAGGTTTGCCACCGTCTCCCCGCTCGCAAACTTGCTCGCCCACGCCCCCCCCTGGCTCGCGATGTTTTCCATGGTCTTGACCGCATAGTGCTGCGCGACTTCGTCCTCCCCCCGGCGCAACATGCTGCCGACCGCAGTGAACGTAATCTCCGGAACTTCCCACGCCGGGGGGCTGTTGGCGGCTTTGGGGGACTGCTCGCTCTGGGTCGCGATGTAGAAGAGCAACTCGCCGAGGGACGCTATTGCTCGTCGTTTTACGCGTTCCTGCGAAGGGTGTGAAGCGGGGTTGTTAGTGGAGCGGATGCTGGTTTCAAGCAAGGAAAGAGACGGCTGTTTAAAGTGTCGTCTGCTCGCTTTCCTTCGCTTGCCCCTCGTGAAAGAAAGTTTCACCGAAAGGCAGATTGGATAGAAACGAGAAGAAAAAAATTGTAAAATGTGACTGGCTTGCATCGACCATGTTCTAGACTTGTACGAAGGGTTTAGATGCGTGAAACCACACGGCATTACTCTGGGCTCGCTTCCGCAGCTCATTCTGCCAACTCGCAAACTTCAGCGTGAGCGGTGCAGGCCCGGAGAGACTTCCAAGTGTCAACGCTCAAAACTTTTGAAATCTATTAAAGCGAGCAATGGATTCCAGACCACTCTACCCAAGGTCCAACTCAGTCATCAAAGCACACTCAAAACACCATTTTAGGAGTTTGCGCAGCGAATTTGCGCTATCTGTCCACGCACCTGCTTATCCTTGGCCGCCTCCGTAAGGATCGGCACAATTCCTGACGCCGCCAGGTCTTCGTCGATTACCGTCGCATGCCGGACCAGTAGCCCCATCGCGCTTGCCAGTTTGGCGCGCAAAACGGGCGGCTTGCTTATTTTAAGCATGCGCACCAAAAGCGGCATCAGCTGCGAATTGATCAGATGATTCGCGGCGTCCGTTTCGGTGGCGAGAGTCTCAACGTAGCTCAGCGTGTTCAGCTTCTCGTTGAGCGACGTGGCGCCGCTGATGCTCGCCATGATGCGTGCCAGGAACGCTTCTGATTGGTCGGGAGGGGCCTGCGGGAAAAAGGCAGAGAGTCCTCAGTCTCTCAAAGAGCATCTTAAGGGGATTGATGTTCTTTGACCGGGAAGAAGACTGATTGCGTTGCGTTGCCGTGACCAATTTTCTTCCCGGATAATGGGTCTGATCTGTACGGCGTCTGCGTTAAGATGGTGGCTACATCTAAGCTTACTCTTGGCTGTCCCTGCCTCTGAAAACTATGCAAGAAGCAAACAGCAACCATAGCGTCCTGGCGAGGCTTGCAGTCGAAGAACTGGAGTTTGTCAACGTCAATCCAGCGGCTTCGCCTGCCGCCATCATGCTAAAATGTCACAGGTTCTCATCTCGAACTAAGTGTTCGTTGTCCAAGGATTCGTCATTTACCTGCGCAAGCGCAGCCCCCGAGAGTGGTTCAACTGGGAGCGCCCGCGGGTCGAACGTCGGCTCTTGAACTTTTTCGATCCGTCGGTTGAGGACGATTGGTTTTACCGCCAAGTCTAGTTGGTGCCATAGGAGCTGCGACTGCGCCACTTGCTGCACCGCAGACTCGACTCCATCGGACGACGAGTCGTCTGGAGATTCGTCCGGCGTAGGGGGTCCCCTCCGGCTGTCTCCAGAACCCCCCGCGCTCGTTTTACTCCCTGTTCGCGCTGACAGGGGGGCCGTGTCGTCCGGCCGGTGCGGCTCGGGGGTACCTCCCCTGGGGAACCTTTCGGTGTTAAGCGCACTGCTATCTTCCCGAGAGAGCGGCATCTTGACACCTTCTGCGGCCGCCGCCGCCTCAACCGCCCCCGAAGTATCCTCCCCCTCGTCCTCCCCCCCCTCTGCGCCTTCCTCCGCCAGATCGATCTCGATATCGTTGTTCTCAAGCGTGACGTCACTATGCGCGCCGCCCTCCTCGCCCCCTTGCCGATACCCACCCCCGTCGGCCTCCCTCCGGAAATTCTTCTGTACGATTTGCGAGAGTCGGAGCACGTTCACATCCCCCGCTTTTCGCGCCGACCCCGGCCGCTGCGCCCCTGCCAACTCCGGCAAAGCCGTTACCCGACTCCCCCCCCCCTCCCCGCCTGCCTTTTCTGCCCCCCCGCTCGCGACCGGGGGCGTCGCCCCCCGCAGGGGGGGCAGGGACACCGCCTCCCCCGCCCGCCGCTGCCGTAGAAAATGGTCGAACGCGGGTTGCTCCGGAAGGGGCAGTTCTTTCGTTGGGACGCGCCAGAAGGGGTGAACGCGAAGCTCCGGCCACGATATTCGGTGCACGGGGTCCTTTACCAGGAGCCGTTGCACGAGATCGGCGAACTCGGGGCTGACGGAAGCAGGGAGGGGGGAAAGCGGGGTCTCCAGAATCGCGCTCACGAGCTGCGTAAAGCTGTTGGAAACGAACGGAGGCTGGCCCGTAGCGCACTCGTAGAGAACGCACCCGACGGCCCAAAGGTCGGACGCGAAGGAGTGGACGCCCCCCTCCTGGAACAGCTCGGGGGCCATGTAGCAGGGCGTGCCTCGCTTGGCCTGGGGCAGCTGGAGGGGGGTGAAACGGAATGGGGGGTAAGACGACGCGGTTCGAAAAGTGGAAGCGAGATGGTCGAGGGCCTAACGAGTTTGTAAACGTCAGACCGGTGTACTAGGATGGTCAAGGGTAGATAAGGCCCATAAGTGAACGGCCAGAATAGCAACATCACCCGGAGGGATCAAGAGCTGACTAGGCAAGCGCATAGTGCAGTGGCCCGGCAACCATGTCCTATCGGGGCTTTCTTGGGTCAGGACTTTCAGCAAACAAACAGAACTTCAAACCTCTAGAAAGAGCACGACAGATTGTCGACTTCGAGTTCCAAGCAATCTTCTAGCTGGCCGAGATTCTTTCAGTGGCTGGCTATTTCGGTGAAGGTTCTCACCTGCTGCAGCGAGAACTTTTGGATGTCGCTGAGGCGCCGCGCCAGCCCAAAGTCGCAGAGCTGCACGCAAGATTCGGAGTGTTTGAAGTCGGTGCTAAAAAAAGCGCTTGCCTAAGTCAGACTGGCCAGCACCACAGTGTCCAGGGATGAGACAACAATCTCATAGGACAGGCATTATTGACTAGCCAGAGCTCGCAATACCCACTGAGTGCAAGAACTCATGCCAACGCGTTTGGATCTCAGCTAGGATTGTGACCAAATGTCACACAGCTTTCGTCTTCGTCACCAGGTGAGTAAGAGGGAACCAAGGACGTACTTTGAGCCGGCCATTCTCGTCTAGGAGGATGTTTGACGGCTTCAAGTCGCAGTAGACCACCCCGTTTGAATGCAGGAACTGCAGCGCCTTCACCAAGTCGCGAGCAAAGTCGTGGATGGACTCCTCTGGAAGACGCGTGTCCTGGGAAGAGCGCGCGATTCGGCACATTTGAAACAGGTGGGGCATCGTCATTGAATCGACCACTTAGTGGCTGTTTGACCTTGTTGTGAATAAGTGGCCCTCTATGGCAGAATGATTGCGGAAACGAGTCAGATGGGACCATGGACGTGTCTCAAGGCCATTACAAGGCTTTCAAAGTGAAGCCAGACAGACAACCAACTTACAGGCTAACTTTTGGAAGTAGTGTCGAAACTTGAAGGCGAGAGCGAAGTGATGGGTCAAAGATGAGGGGCAAAGTGACGCAAATCAGAGAGTGCACCTGATATGAAGGAATCTGGATGAACAAGAAAAGGTGTGCCGGAAGCTAGGAGCAAGGCGGTGGCACACGTACCTGATGAAGGAGGGTGAGCAAATTTCCCCCAACGCAGTACTCAAGTATCAGCCAGAGATGGTTGGACGTCTCATACCTGTCAGAAAGGAGGCCGTTTGGAAAGCATAACAGAACCGCCCTGTGACGGCAGATGACATATTTCCCCGAAAACTATGCGCTTGCTTGGTTCCAATATAAGGAGGAGAAACAACACATGATTGCTGAGGTCAGAGACAGAGTGGTCAGCCTAGATTACAGAGTCAGCCCCCTTTTCTTTCTTTTCTTTCGTTCATAAGCTGTCTGGGTAGAGGGACCTCTCGTACCATACAAGGACCAGATCTATGGAGAAAACATTCATGTGAGTACAAGGTGAGCAGTCAGTAAACTTCTGACTGGTGCGACAAGGCAACAGCGATACCAACGAACTTACCAGGCATGAAAGCGGAGGACATTCTCATGTTCCAAGGAGTGCAACGTCCGCACCTGCAATTTACGACAGAAGATCTGTCATTTGAATGGACTCTTCAGGATTTACTATGCTCAAAGGAGCTTCAGGCACCCCATTCCCCTACTGTCGTGGAATAGAACCTTTGTTCCAATATAAGATGCCCCTATATATTCAGCCAAAATTTGTCCTGACAGTACATGCATTTCGATCAAGAGCTGCTACAACCCAGACTCTGCTCAAGCCTCCCTAATGAATGGATGGGGGTGGTACCTCTCTTCCTCTCCCTCAACTTCTTTACCTTTCTGGAAGAAACACCCCCACTTGGCCCATTCGTCACCAATCAGCGCACAAAATGCTCAACACATGAGTAGGCAGACCGGTAGATCTGCCGTGCCCCCAGCTTGCCAGGGCATGAGGGGGGTTAACCTCACCTCCTGCAGGACCTTCGGCTTCTGCAGCTTCTCAACGCTTTTGACAGCAAAGTACTGGATAGTCTTCTTTTTGCGCCCCTTATACACAACCTGCATCAGCACAGCCAGCTTAGCCACAATTCTTTATGTGTGGAACTGCACCTGATGCCTTTCAAATTGCCATATTAAAAGCCTGAAAAGTTGAGTACAGCTGAAAAGTCGGAGATGCAATTCATGCTTCTGTGGAACCTCCCCTGCCCATAGAGCCACATTGTAAGCCTGCTGAGAAGCGATTTGGAGTCTTCCACTTGCGACCAGATTCCAAAAGTGCAAACTACCCATCTCGAATCTGCCACCACCCCCATGTGTTGAGGTACAACTCACCGAGTGCTTGCCACGGCCAATTGTCTCATATATGTGGTAGTTATTCATTTCGCCCCAGCAGGAACTGATTTGGCCCTTGCAAAGAATTTATGCTTGACACCTGCAGCCTGCGATGCAGGTTTCAGCATCCCCTCCAATTCCCTCCTGGCAGCAAATCAACCAGCGACTTGATCAGACTCCTTATTCAGCGACCTGTACTGTGGTCAGGACTCAAACGTACCCCGCAGACCTCCCTGCCTCTGTCCTGGCCAATTCAAGGTGTAGCTACCGGACCGAAACAAAGTTCATTGTGGATTGCAACGTGCAAAGCAAATCCTCTCCCCTTCAGATGCCAGCATGTCGGATGCTTGCAAGCTGCACAATGTGGAATCTGGAAGAAAAGTTCGCCAGTGCAGGCTGGCAAAAACGTCCTGCAAAACGATGCCACCAGAATGTTTGAATTTTAGCTGCTCTTCGTGGCTCAAGGGGGTTAAGTCTGACAACGGCATAACCGTCATACCGTTACAGATTTGCTTCCAAGCCAACGGTGCCAGTCGGACGTAACGCTGTCCGAGTATGCTAAGACGATGACCGTTAACCTGGCTGGCAGACATTTCAATCAGCCAGGGCACAGACAAAACCATCGTGCTAATAGGAAGGAATGTGCAGCGTGAAGGCTGAATGTAGCTGAGCTGTTCACCTGGAGAAGCAGCTGGGAAGGTTGGAGCGCAAAGATCTGTGGAAACACGAGCTAGTAAGCTACCACTGTTTACATCAGCTGACAATTCCATGCTTCAGATTGTTGCACTCAGGAGAGTGCTCGCAGATCTTAAAAGTGAGCAAAGCAATGGACGTTCCCGTTGAAAGAGATCCAATCATTTGAGCTGGTGCATTCGTCGACGCGTGCTAGTCAATTACAAGAAAACAGAAAGGATGACATTTTCTTTGGTCGTGGATGTTGTACATCCAAGCAGCTAGGCGCTCTTCCTTTGATTGTGATTTTCAATCTAACGTTACGTGTCTGGCTAACCTGGGTCTGAGTTTCTGAGCTGATCGAAGTTAGGAGCCCTATGTACCAGAGGGTGTCAAGTGGTGGTCGACTTCAAAAAATTTCCTGAACCTTTTGTGACAAACAGGATGCAAAATCTTGCTGATCGCAGTGACACTTGTTTCTGGATTCTCCACCTTGTATTTTAAGCACTCATTTGGCTCCTGAAGTTGTTGAATCAGGAGTTGAGAGGTAGCCGTTTTCTGTCCACTGTCATAGCAGGACCTGGCGAGCGCCTCTTGCTGTTGGTGTTACAAGTTACTAATTCTTATGCCCCTTCATTGCTGACAGCTAACTTTGGCTAGGCCAACCAAGGATAACTATGTTGAGTGACATAAGGACCGCTCTTCAAAATAGACTGCTTGTCAACTTAAAGCACCACTATATTGAAGCCGACATCGTGTGCTCTTGTCCCATGCAGAGGTGCAAAGATCGGCTCTAAGGAACCTAACAGGCAATGGATCCCGCACCCGTCCGGCTGGATGTTTCAGAGGCCCCCGAAGACGATGAGCTTCTGGCTAGGAAACAGTCGAGCATGCTTGAGCGGCTTGCCGCCAAGGCTGCACAGCGAACAGAGGAAGCTCTTAAGAAGCGGACCGACGTTGCGGAGGGGGCGGCTCCAGGGGAATCCGTGCAGCAATTCCTGGACTCCTTTGGGCATCAAATGGAGGACGTTGAGAAGCGGCTGGAATCGTTGAGCGGTCAGGGGGAGGGGGAGGTCTCCACGTCAGAGTTGGACCAACTAGCGGCGGAGATACAGAGCTTAGAAAAGTCGGTGTCGGACGCCGTGTACTTCCTACCCTCGTACGAAGTGAGGGCCTCGCAGGGGGCGCTGATTCAGATGCGGGGCCGATTGGAGGCGCTCCGCGCCAAGATTGTCCCAAAACGAAAGTTCTCGTTTGGCGCCAAGAAGAAGGAGAAGGAGTCGACTGCGAAGGGTAAACCCCTGACAGACGAAGATGGGGGTGCAAAGCGGACTTTTGGGATGGGGAACGGAAAGGGAGGAACGGAAGGGGTAGAACAAGGAACAAACGTTTCAAGAGGGCCTGGGATAAGAAGCAAGAAAGGGGAGACCGTCGTTGAGCAAGTGAGGGAGGGAGAGTTTACACTTTCTCACTTGGAAGACTGCTCGATCTATCTCGTCGGGATGCTGCGTGCACTTTACATCGACCGTGTTAAAAATTGCCGGGTGTTCAGCGGCCCTGTCACTGGGGCTGTACACATTGAGGAAGTGTCCGATAGTATCCTGGTTCTGGCGTCTCATCAGATCCGCGTTCACCATACGTCACAAACAGACTTCTACCTTCGCGTGCGGAGTCGCCCTATTGTCGAACATACGAGCGCTGTCAGATTTGCTCCGTATGCCTTTCAGTATGATGGTCTAGAAGGGCACTTGGATAAAGCAGGACTTTTGAAAGACTCAGGAGACTGGGCTAACGTAGACGATTTTAGGTGGTTGCGGGCCACTCAGTCTCCGAATTGGTGCATCCTGCCCGAAACACAGAGACTAACAGAACAAAGTCCACCTCAAAGTGAGAACGGAAAGCACACCACTTGAGTTTCCAATTCTAGTTCCCCTGTATCGAGATCTGCCAGGAGGCTTGCTCGAGCCGTCCCTTTGCAATAACCATAATGAATGCATCTCTGGTCGTCCCTTCTTTGCGTCAGTAGCACGTTGAAGTCGAACTGATGTCGGACCTGTGCAAATGCAATAACTTGCAGTTCAAGCCGTGCCACCGATCCTCTAAGTGCACACTGCACAAACTTCGAACCTTTCAAGAGTCGATCAACTCAGATGTTCGCATGGATCCTTAGCAATGATGAGCATTGCTGTAGAACATGGAGCTGACCGTCTGACCAGCCGCGACATCATTGTTCAACGCTTAGTGCTGGCATATATACAGAGCGCTACAATGATACTTAAATTTACATAACTAGTACGCGTTCTGATTGAATGCATATACTGCATTGATCACATCCATAGTCACATATGTGCAGTAGCTAGCTGGCCGCCGCTGCTATGAAAGCACACCATGCCCCCCGTGCACTTTGAATATCGAACCCCAGCATATGTCGATCTAGCTAGCTTGCATGTGTGGTTCAACGCGCCATACGTTATATAACAATACCTGATCAACTCAACTTGAATACCGTGGAGCGCTGCGCGCACAGCAGATAACAGCTCAGATGGCTGCGCCTATTTCGTAGCCAGACGCGCCTTTCATGGACAGCGCGCCAAGCGCTGGGCGCGTCGAAATTGCTATGTACTCGAAGACACCAACGCCCCTGGAACACGATGTCGCGTTGCTGATATAATGCCACTTAAAGCAGGTGTAGCATTGAAAGGAACATGCCTCCAATCTTTGCTGTCCGCCGGTCAAATATTCGGCTCCCTTGTTTTTGACCGCAAAATCTATGTCCAGGGGGCCTCTGAGTTTCACCCAACAACCACCAAGTACCCATTGACAACAAGGATCAACCGACATTCAATGCATGAGTTGACCGAAAAGAAGGATCAACCAACATTCAATGAGTTGACCTATATGATTGTCATTCCATAGACTCTGTTTCTTAGAAGGAGTCGAGCTTCGACCATTCAACCTCTTAGACTCTGTTCAAGTCAACTGATCCAAAGAATCTAAAGAAGCAACATGATTTGAGGGGACACTGACTCTGACACCAGAGTACGAGCCCTTTGCCTCAAAGTTGTGAGTGATGCCTGATCTCGTTTGGCTTCTTAGCCACCTCAACCAAGGACTTAAAGCTGTAGGGCTCGTGCATCGCCAGCTCTGAGAGCACCTTCCGGTTCAGTTGGACGTTTTGTGTTGACAAGCCGTGCACAAAGTCGCTATACTTCATCTGCAGATTGACGGATCAAAACAAGGCTCGTCAAGGGGGTCGCTTTTCAACGGAAAAAAAGGAATTAGGCTGATCTGGCTGAGGCTGATCAATGAACTCTTACTCCGAGAACGCTGACCACATTTAACTGAAAAGAAGACAGACTGACAAACTCCATTCTCAGAGGCTCCGGTCGCGAAAATTCAGATCCTTCAGAATATTGAGCACTTCATGAGGGGCTGGCATCATTTACTCAAATTTATGTTACGGAGAAGTTATAACTCTAGCATCTGTCAGACCCCCCTTGCGGCAAAGAGGGTACTCCCTGCAACAATTATGAGACGCTTAGACAATAGTAAGAAAGCTGACTTGAAAACTAAAACACAAAAACCCACCGACTCTGACCATGCCCACCCCTGTCCCCCTTATTAACCCCACATGTCCCAGCTTAATCTTTTTTTTGTCGAAACGATTCAAAAGTGGAGATGGTGGCGTCAGCCACACAGTCGAGGACGAGAACCCAACAAGAAGTACTCACTCCTAAACTTCAACGCGTTAACAGGACAAGCTGCACTCAGCATTTGAGCCCGGTGCGTCAGACAAAGTAACCAGCAACTGAGCTCCACACATTGAACCTCCACATGTTGACCTAGCAACTGCACTCAAACAAGTAAGTCCATTGCGTCAGCAAGGCAAAGTGTTTCACACAGCAGTCAAATCCGTTTAACACATAAGTTTGACTTACCCCATGCTGTCGTGTCCCAGCATTTATTCTCTGGATCCACAGGCCCCTCATCTCCCGCTTCTTCTCCTTCCGATCCCTGTACGAATGCTGCAGCGCCTTTTCGACCCTCTCCCTTGCTACTCTTATGCAGTTTTTGGCCCGGCCCCGCATACCCTTGGCCAGCTGAAATATCTTGTCATGGTTCATCATGGTGCCTGACTCCTATTTCTACCCTGCCTTCTAGGGCCCAAGCAATCCGGCTTGGATAGCCGTGCTCGTTTACTTACAGACTGCTTTCTGCTCTGCACAGACTTTACCTAGCAATCCTGCTCTGCTGCAAGCTCAGCGTCAACCAACTTCAATGACAGAGATTTGAAGCCTGACAAAAGCAGATATAATTTGCAACTCGAATCAACTACCCGGAGCAAACGATCGTAAATGTCGGCGCTCACTTTTCTTGTGCCCTGCTTCGACATCAAGGGAGCCAAGACAACGTGAGAGCATCAAAGCCGTTCAGCGGCAAAAATGGCGCCCTTAGATGTCCTGGCCAAACTTAAAACTAGCTGAAGCGCCTGAGAAGTCGGACTTAGGAAAGGCAGCTGAGCACAACAGATCGTGCGAGCAGGACAGCTTGCTGGTGTGGCCAGCAGAGCTGAAACCCTGGTTAATAGAAACGGGCTAGCTACGGTCCACAGTAACGGCTCCAGTCGGTGCAAAACCGGCAGACCCTAAGGCTACCGGGTCCCAGCTAAATCTTGGTATCAGGCTCACATGCAATGGTTCCAGAGACCCGACTCCCGGGGCGTGGTGACCCGCGATCGGCAACGGTAAGACAAACTGCGCACTGTAACCCTCATGGTTAGCGATCTGCCTTGGAGCCAGAGGGATTGCCCTTTCTTCCTCGTTTCACCAATGCCACATGCTGTTCACAGTGAGCAGAGAACTCCAATTACAGCTTGTTTGGGTTGCAATGAAAGGCGCTTGGGTACTATTAGTAGGTACTACTAACACGTCTTTCTTTGCATCGGCCTGGCCAGCAAATTGACTCCCAGACCAGTGGGTGATCTTAGGGG